GTGCCTCATGAAATAAAGATCTGAAAGGAATTGGAATAAAAATTTCCTGCATCTCATGCCAAGGGGGAAACACCAGAATCAAGTGTTCCGCGTGACTGAAGACACCCCCTCGTCCAAGAATGCAAAGCACATCCAATAAAATAGCTGGATTATAACTCCTCTTCTTTCTTTGGGGGCCGTGGGGTGGGAGCTGGGGCGAGAGGTGCCATTGGCCCCCGCTGCTTTTCCTCGGGGAAGGATGGCGCAAGCTGGGAGAACAGGGTACGATAACCGGGAGATAGTGATGAAGTACATCCACTATAAGCTGTCGCAGAGGGGCTACGAGTGGGATGCCGGAGATGTGGGCGCCGCGCCCCCAGGGGCCGCCCCCGCGCCGGGCATCTTCTCCTCCCAGCCCGGGCACACGCCCGGTCCCGCCGCGCCCCGGGACCCGGTCGCCAGGACCTCGCCGCCGTCGCCCCCGGCCGCCCCCGCCGCCGCCGCCACCGGGCCTGCGCTCAGCCCGGTGCCACCTGTGGTCCACCTGACCCTCCGCCAAGCCGGCGACGACTTCTCCCGCCGCTACCGCCGCGACTTCGCCGAGATGTCCAGCCAGCTGCACCTGACGCCCTTCACCGCGCGGGGACGCTTTGCCACGGTGGTGGAGGAGCTCTTCAGGGACGGGGTGAACTGGGGGAGGATTGTGGCCTTCTTTGAGTTCGGTGGGGTCATGTGTGTGGAGAGCGTCAACCGGGAGATGTCGCCCCTGGTGGACAACATCGCCCTGTGGATGACCGAGTACCTGAACCGGCACCTGCACACCTGGATCCAGGATAACGGAGGCTGGGTAGGTGCACGTGGTGATGGGAGTCTGGGCTGAGGCCGCAGGTCCGAGATGTGGGGGTTGCAGTGCAGCGGGTGGGCTCCTGGGGTAAGGGGAGGCTGTGGGGCTGGTGAAATAATATCAGGGTTGTTGCTTCCCGGCGTCCATACCTCTTCCTACGGACAAAGTGCTCTCTCCCAACTCGACTGATGACGCCTGCCATCTAAAGTCTTTAACTTGCTCTCTAGTTGAGGAGGTCCAGTAGGATGTGGTGGTCAATGGTACTCCTTCAGTGTTTCTCGAGCTGGAGGTCCAGGAGTCCCCAGGACCACAGTTTCCTGGCCTGAGCAGCTCGTTGGGACCCGAGGGAGGTTTCAGGGACTGCTTATGAACCAGATGCCAGGTTGGGTCTTGACAGTCTGCACCCTAAACAAGCTGCCCTGAGACACGACCCTGGTGCACTTACATTTGAGAACACCCCAATGAGAAGAACAGACTCCACAGAAGACTAAGGGTACGCCTTTTCTAACGCGGTACAATTTTCCAAAAGAGGAAAACCAACCTGAGTCCCTTTCCCTGGAAAACTTAGTTGTGTTTGTAAAGAGCTAAGTTGACATTCCAAAGTCCTTACACTGGAATCTCCAGTGTGTTCCATGTTTCCAGTGGGCGTGACGCAGTGTCTTGAGGGCTATTGGTCTATGGCTTTGCTATCTCGTCAGTGACAGAATTTGCATCGGCTACATTCTTTATGTTCTATAATTTCTGTATGAGTTACTAATTTACTAGAATGTTGTTAGAATCTTTTGTTTTTCACCACCTAAAGTCGACCTAATTTTGTGTTCTCCTGAAAAAAATTGCGTCTAGGTATCTATGTACGGCGTAGAAGAATTGATTATTAGCTGTGGATTCTCTCATACCCTGACTTTAGTTGAAGTGATTGATACCTGTGGCTTTGAAGAACATATGTGAGATGATCTTTTTCTGGTGCTGTGCTAGATAGAGCTTTCATCATTGTACCATACAGTTGTACTTTAGGGGAGAGGTGCAGCTCCTAAGATTCAAGGATTGTAATGGAGAGCTGTATCTCATACCTAAAATGATGAATTTATAAAAAAGTCATTCCTGTCTGAAGTGTTCTTGTTTTTTTGTTTTGTTTGTTTTTACAGTTTTTGTTTTAATCTGAAGAGTTATCTTTAAAAAAAAAAAAAAAGGGTGTAATTCATTGCTTCCTTTTATAGTCTCTTGGGAGAATAACTAATGTCATTACTTTATAGGTCCTAACAGGAGAAAAAAGCCTAGAAATGACTGCAAGTGAATTAGATGTCAAGAAGCACACTACATGTTTTTATTACATTTCACGAAGTGTGCTCATATTAAGGGGCCAAATAGAGAAAAGGCCAAGAAAAGTACATGATTGATGGGAACATCTGATCTTATTTGACCAAAGTTGACAAAATATTGATGCCACTGTTTGGTGTTTAAAAGTAAGATGAACTAAAATACCCCAATTTAAATTTCTAAAATTTAAATGCTCTTCTCAAATTGTTTGTTGAGATCTCACATTATCAGATCTTTAGTAATTCGGGAAGAATTTGCTAAAGGGTGAAAAGAATATTTTTGTTAAATATTTGGTTAAGTAGGTGGTTTGATTTTTAATCACCATAACTAAAAATGTTGGGACTTCCAGACTCCAAAAGGATCCTTTTAAACCAAAGTAAAAATGATTTAATAGTTTTACCATTTCATATTTTCATGAAAAATTCATATTTAAAAATTTTCTTTCTAGTTGAAGGAAATCCAAGGTGGTAACTGGTATCTGTCTATCAAGTAAGTTAATAAAAACATGGGAAACAGAGACACATGATGATAGGACTTAAGATACATCCTTGATAATTGCTGCTGAATTTCAGTGTTATCATCTCATGGAACTGAAGGTTTTTTTTAAGTAAAGCCTCACTTTTTTCTTTCCTTAAAACAGAGTTTTCATAGTAGACCTATCTTTGTGGTCAACAGGTATCTGAGGTTGGTAAATGCAGAGGCTACATTTTGTGATGCCAAACCACAATGACATACCATAGAACATGATAAACATTTTTTGACAAAACTGCTTCTAGTAAAAATAAATCATACAGAAGCACAGATGGCTGATGGTAAAATATGTAATAGATATTTCAGAACAGAAATCTGTGAATTTCAGAACAATGCATAGATGGTGACTATATAGGAAAACAAAGGAATTTAGAGTATGTATGTGTGTGTGTGTGTATATATATATATATATATATAAATAAAAATATATACACACACACATACATACACACCAGGAAATGCGCTCATTGGACACTTTGGAATAATAGTGGTAGTGTTTGAGAATGATAAATGATTTGCCTATCATTTCAAATGTGCATTATTAATCTAAAAGTTATTTTAGGCATGGCATACAGATTTTTTTCAAATTTACACCAATCGGGGTTACATCTCTAATAATATGTTGTATTTTACAGTGTAAAGTAGCCTTAATGGTAAAGCTTCAGAAGAGAGCTAGCATATTTTCTTGACATGTGCCAATAATCTGCACTGTCCCCAGGGTTCAGTGGATAAGCCCATCTCCTGAATGCTACATTGAATACTCCAGGCTTTAGACTTCAAGTCATTTCTTTTTCTTTGCTGCTCCTACAAAATGAGAACCTTGCGAGGCTGAGGAAATCTGTTTGAATTTTGTGTTCCATAACATGGAGAAATCAGGTCCTTGGAATGATCAGCCTCTGATAGACTGTCCCAGAGGACTACAAATTAAATAAAGACTAAAGAAGTAATTGGGTGTAGAGTGGACTGTGGCTTTATTCCTAGGTCTGAATAAGGCATTGTGTGGCATCTAGAGAGGCAGGACAGAGGAGGCAGTGAGAGAGCAGCAGTTCTAGAAAATGTGGAACCCTTGCTGCTCAGTGTGGCTTACAGACCAGTAGCACATGCACCCCCTGGGAGCTTCTTGGAGATGTAACAGCTCAGCTCCTACCCCAGAGCTCACATATTCTGAGTCAGAATATGTGGTCTGTGCACATTAAAATTAGTGATGCTGGCTACCATCCTTGGTTCCTGGTGGCATCTTTTAGGAAGCATTGCTACCTGGGATGGATTCTGCATTGTCCCCTTCCAGTGACCTTAAGGATCTGTAGTATTACTTGGAATACTGAATATTCCGCTCGCGTTATCTGACTTTAGGAAGACATGAATTGGGATGAAGGAGAGATAGCAAGCAGGTAGATTACTACAAGCCCAGTCTTCTCGCAAATATTTTTCATGGTAGTTATCCAATTTGTATTGGCATCACTGGTTCCATTAAGAAGTAAGATACTTCTCTTCTTCAATTAAAGGCAAGAGAATGAGCTCTTTTAATAGCTCTGTTAGTTATTATTTTATCTCCTCCTGACACAGTTTAAATTCTGGAAATGACTTTAGTGACCTTGCAACAGCTTTAAGACAAAGGGACTCTTGCAGGCAGGGGTTGAGTTGTGGGCAAATGATGGTGAGCGGCTTCCCAAACTGAACTGTGATGACATTCAGCTTCAGGTCTTAGGAGAGAGTGAGATATGGACTACTAGAAAAATGAGATGATTCAGGCAGGAGACTGGAGGAGATGAGCTTTATTCTATTGATGAGATGGTAATCCGACTTACTTTTTGGTCTTTTGGTGTTGGTAGTTTAGGAAGACAGCTTCCTTTTCATTAGTTAGTCAGCAAGCAGTTTTTCCTTTCTGAATGCAGTCCACATCCAGCAAAACATTTGATTAACTAGAAAGCAATACCATTCTCATGCCAGTGTACAAATTATATGAAAGAGCATCATTTTTCTAGTATCTGAGGATTGGCTGTGTATGGCCAATTTTGGCAACAAAACGATAGGATTAAAAATAGCTTGAAGATGATCTAGTCTTAATATATTTCATGATGAACTTTCCTTGGGAAAGTGTATCTTTCTGCCTGCTAAGAATCACATGACCCCTTTCAATAATTTATTTAGTAGAAAAAAGCATATTATTGCTCCTGGAGTTTTCAGTCATGTGCTGTGGAGTGATTATGTTTCTGGACCTTCATAAAATTTTATGGTTAACTTGAGTTCTCTTTTCTGTTTTAGGGCCTTTGTTGCTATTTAATGTCCATTGAAAACATGGCTTTCTTTTGCGCATTCTTTACTTTGAGTTGTACTTTCTAATGAGAACGGATTGTTCTTTTTAGCAATCTTTGATTGAACTGGTACATTTCAGATTACTTAAATGTCATCAGGCCACACAGTGTACCAGGTAACAGAAAGCCACAAAGTAAAAAAAAAAAAAAAAGCAAGCAAAATTCTTGTAGTTTTTTCTTATCTCTGTTTCAGTAGTATTGTGCTTTTTGGAGGGATGATAAGCCCACTCGTGAGTGAGTGTGTGGGTGCTGTGTGTTAACGTGATGCTTCCCACCCGGTATACCTCCACACCCATTTCTAAGGTCACTCATTGTGTCTTAGCAGCAGTTTAGCAAAGCAGTATCTCAGCAGAAGTGCATTTGTGCTAGCAAACAACACTGTCTTTGTAGTGTACAAGTAGAAAGTTTTCTTTTTTTCCCCCAGAGATATATTGTATTTGAGGTTCAAAGGTTCTGTTCAGCATTTTTAAAGTAATCTAATATCACCTTATTCAGGCATAACAGTAACTTCTCAACCTGGTCATCCTTTCTGTCAGCTACACATAGGAGACCACTCTGTGAATTTACCCCACTGTGAAGTTTCTCTTTCGTGCCTCTTGGTTTGGTTAAAGCAACCTTAATATTTGATGTCTAAACAGGATCAATGATGAAAATCATCCAAGGACTGAGACAGTTATTCCACAGACATGATTGCCAGTCTTACATGAGTCCTGCCCTGGGTTAGGCTGGGGACATGGGAAGGAGCCTCTGCCCTGGATAAACTCACAGGCGAGTGTTGCAGGTGCCTGAAGAAACTCACCATTACCATACTGCCTGATAAGCCTGATCCTAGACTCAGAGACTTAGAGGGAAAAAGCAAGTAACTATAAGTTATTTTGTATGTACTTCAATCTTGGCCTAAGAATGTTATTTCTGACTATATGGCTGTTCATGTGTGCATTAGGCCTAATTTAAATAGAGACAAAATGTAGGTACTTTAAAAAATACTGTATAACATAGACATATGCTTAAGAGAACTGAAAGGCAGGGGGAGTTCCCTTGTTAAATATTAACCCACTAAGCACTATTTATGCACACTAAGAAGACTTAATAAACAGCAGTCTACAATTCTTAAAACATTTCATTAATTGTTTTTAAGTAAAAGACAATCAAGGCTCTGATTAGACTGACTGGAACAGGGTAATTTGAAGAACTATCTTTCTTAAATAACTTGTATGCCAAAAAATACAAGGAGGTTTTGAACCAGAACAGGGCTCTTCCTTTGAGGGAGGGAAAAAGCTTCTGTTTTGTTTTGGTTTGAGGTTATGTTACTGTTCTACTTATTGAGACGCATCTACAGTGCTATTTACAGAACTTCACAGTCCGTCGTGATGCTCCTGTTCCTAAAGAGCAGGTGTTTGCCTTCGGACTTTTTGGGCTTATGGTCCTGTTTATTTAAATGGAGATTGTAAAACTTTTAAAATGCTAACAAAGCTGTTTTCACTTAAAAACATATTTTTATAGATTGTCACTTGTTGTTCTGATATATGTCCAATTCTATATATGCCACAGCACCATTTCTCTGCTTGCCATTTGCCAGACAAAAGATGCATCCATCTGTCCTTCAGTGTGAGTAAGGATTGAATGATTATTCCTCTCTCTTTCAAGTCATGGGGCTTTCTCATAGGTGCCACCACCCCCGTGACCATGACCATCCCTACCTACCTCATCATTCCATCAGAGAGGGACTTCTCAGGTGTAGCTCCTTGTTAACATCCAATTAACAAAGGGTAGAATTCACCTGAGGAAAACAGCCATGCGCTTAGATACCAGCAAAAGGGAGCAGAAGTGGGGAGTCTAACCAAAGTGAGAGGGTAACCCTCACCCCAAACATGCTGCAGGCAGCTGGGCAGGTCAAAATTCTGTGACCAGATACTATCCTTTCCCTCCAGAAATTATAAACTTTAACCCTGTGCAGAGAAAAGATAGTATCTGCTGGCAAAATTTTTACTTGCTTTGATTTCTGCAGTGCAAGATTATAGTGAGGTTATACTTGAGCCTCTGATACATTTTTGACAAACTAAACTAAAATAGCTTAGGGTAAGGACTACTTCCCCAAATGCCCTTTTAAACATGTGAGAAAGGGAATCTCCCTGGCATACCAGTACGGCCACTCGTAGCAACATACTGAGAGTGACTCGCGTGATTTTCTTGGGCGATCAGCCGTATTCCATAAGCAGGTTAACTGTGGAAGACACCTGCCCTTGACCACCGTGTTTGGGCCACGTATGCTTCGATGGGGAAATTTGTGTTTCCATTCTGCCTCTTGTTTTGCCTTCAATACGGGATAGAACCGTGTTCCATTTTTAGTTAATAATCAGCTCTCTGGGGCTTCTATGTAATGAGTCAGAAACTTATGACTGACTCCACTCTGCTTTTTATCATGTCTCCTGAAAACAACCCGAGAACCCATTGTGTCAAATGAAGCTTTAATTTTTCAGGGGAGGTTTTTTTCCATTGAGACCAATACATCTTTTCTTGTGACAGATCCAGTTACTGTATTTCTTTATTTTTAACTGTCGAACAGACAGTTAAGCTGCAACAGAGTATGGTGAGTTTACCAATTTTAATGCTTGGAGCAGCAAACAAAGGATCAGTGTCGCAAGTTGTCTTTTCTTGACTTTTCCCAGCTCTCCTTAGCAGATAACTAAGATGATATTTTTTCTGCCTTACAACATGATGAATGCTATATCTCTATATTAACTCTGAAATTGAATTGCAGCCAAATATTCCTCTCAGCTGCATTAGAATTTTCTAAGAGAATACGAGACACATACTTAGTCCTCTTAGTTCAATGCTATATCTCAGATATATTGATATCTGATTTACAATTAAAATAGGAAGAAAATTAAGTACAAATTATATCATCAGCTTTAAATATTGATTTATCTTTTTGGAAAAAAAAAAGCAATTCCATAAAGGATGGCAGCGTTGGCATTTCTGGGTATAAAATTTCAGGGCCATCTCCTAGCCGTTCCCTTTATCAATTCCTGCCAGCATCTTTAAACACACACACACACACACACACACACACTGAAAACACAGAGAGAGGTTTTGAGATATTTTATAACAAAATTATAAGAACAGTGAGACAGAGCCATTTACTAACCATTAAAGTGATAGTGTAAGAAGACAATGATTGGAAGAAGTCCTAATTGAGGGAAACGAGCAATTGTCCGCAAAACTTAACCCTGGGCTCCCAGGAACCAGGGCAGGGATGGTCATGGAAAGGGTTTTCAGGATCCAGTTATTTGGGAAAGGATGCATGCTTTTATTTATTGAAAAAAAAAAAA